CCATCAGTACCTCCAAAAACCCAGAGACCATAGGGTTGAGGGAGAGCAGAACCGGGGAAATAAAAGACGACATTAATGGACCGCGTCGGTCCTGGGAGAAGAGGGAAGTGATGTAAGGAGCCTACGAAATAGAGCTATGGCAACCTATGTCTATGTGCATACATAAGACCAACAGGTTAAATGGTAGACTAGGCGGACATCTTAAAGCATGTCCAAGGGATATCCGATAGTCTGGGTATCCCATAGAACAGAAGGTACTTAAGCAACAGGTGTACCTAGGTACAGGGAATAAAGTGACTATGTACACTCTGACCTAAGGATAGGTGGGGAGGTAGGGCAAGTTTACCCTCGCTAGGAAAGTCACGTTACCCTACCATGGAGACCAGCTTCGTGTCACTATAGGCATAATAACCCTACCTTTTGGACACTATTACCCTAGCTTCTATCAGAAACGTTCTCACAGGAATTTCGGGAACTGTTAGGATTGTTTGTCAAGCCAGGACGATGGATGAGCACTTGGTTGCACATTGATCGGAAGGCTACAGGAGGAGTAATAGTGCTCCGAACATGCTCTAACTTGCCAGGACTATTCCTGAGACGTACCTATGGCCCCAGGGTTTGCCGCGGGCGTCATAGGTCAAAATGGGTAGAGTTGCCATCCTACTAGTTAAATGGAATCAGTAAAGACATGTCCATAACACTGTACAGGTCGCTGCCGTCCGTCCAACCTGCAGGGGTTCGCAGGGTATATGCGGATGGCAAGCTGAGAAGGTCAAGTACCTTCTCCAAAACGAACGGAGTAAAACAGACCTTGGCTGACAGAGTTAGCGCAAGCTATCCGGAAGGGTCCCCCGATTAGTCCCGCATAGTGCCGGAGATATCGAGGAAGGTTTTACACCAATCAAGCCTACACGTGCCCCTTTGCCGCTGGCTCTTTATTCGTTGTTGGGAGACTCTATAGCATGATACTTATCACGGTGAGTGGTGTGTCGGGGGTAAGGGACTGTGGGTAGCGCCCATGGGTCCTGCCGCCATCACAGCACTCCACGGGAGCGTCGGAGACACTCTAAGTTCGCAATCAAGAAAGATAGAACTTTACTGGATGATATGAGATGTCTACAGGTACTTGCATAGATCATTGCTCATGGGTAGAGACTCATTTACTTAGCTTTCCCAGGTGACTTGACAGTTAGCCACCGATAAAACACCGATGCGGAGAGGTTTTTACTTCGGCAGGTGTATTGGTAAACACCTCGCAGGACTGATGGGCACATGGGAGATGTCTACTAGAGTGCGCTGATACCTTAGGCCCTTCGCGGATATGGTAATGGTGCCGGAGCAACCCTTACGAAGAAGGGCATACTCCGGTTGGTCGAGGTAACCTGATGGGGGAGTTTTTGGTATAAGTCTGACTGCTTAAAGATTATACGAGAACTCTCCTGCCCCGATACAATCAACATCCTCCCGAGAGACTTTAATTGAGATAAGCCTGAGCTTAAGGATATTAAGTTTTACTGTTTACTTTTATTCTTTACATATTGCAAGAGCTGTGTTCGAGAGATTCCAGGCTTTGGTACGGTCGCATCCTTGGAATCCATCTTCCTGAGGGAGCCCCCGTTACAGTAGCGCCCATAGGTCCTACCACCGACACTAGTCTCCATGGGAGCCTCATACACCCCATAGGTTGGCAATCAAGGAAGATAGAACTTAACCGGAAGACCCCTGATGTCTACAGGTGGTTGCCTACAGCATTGCCCCTGGGAAGACAGTCGTTTAGCTATCTTCCCTATGTGTCTCGACAGTTAGCCACTGACGAGACACCGCTGGGGAGAGCTTTTCACTCGGGCAGCTGTTTTGGTAAACACCTTGCAGGACCTGATGTGCATATGGGACATGTCTGCTAGATTGCTCTGACACCATTGGGCCTTCGGGGACACGGTAATGGTGCCGGACAACCCTTGTCGAGAAGGGCTTACTCGTGCTAGTCGGGGTAACCTGATGGGGGAGTTTTTGGTATAAGTCTGACTACTAAAAGCTTATACAAGAACTCTCCTACCCTAATAGAATCAATATCCTCTCCGCAGACTTTAATTGAGATAAGCTGGAGCTTAACGATATTAAGTTTTACTGTTTACTTTATTCTTTACATTTTGCAAGAGCTGTGTTCGATAGATTTGAAGCTTGGTGCGGTCGCATCCTTTGGAAATCATCTTCCTGAGGGAGCCCCTGTTACAGGATCCATCTTCCTAGCAGACCTCGTGTTATAAGTGATTGCTGTATCTCTTGCTATGCCATACTGGGTATGCTTCTATTACCCTTCCCTTTACCATTAAGTATCCTTCCACCAAACCCCTATACTTATAGCATATTTACTATCACCGGCCAATTCCTAGCTTGGAACTAGTACACTACAGTATAGAAACTTTATTAATTACAATTAGTAGTAATAACCTCTGGATTTACTTTACCATTAGCAATCATATTACTGTATTTCACTAGCATGTCTGACTATTAGCTACACTTTCCAACTTAATTCCTTCCACAAACTCATATAATTAAAGGGGCAACAAATACTCCTCCTCTGCTGGTAGCTAATGGTGTAAAATTTCCTGGACCTGCAATCCCTCTATACTAAATATATTGTAAACCATTAATTCAAATTACTTTAAATCTCATGTTGTTTCTACATTTCAGCCATGAAACTCAATGTCTTAAAAGCAAATCCTACAATTTAGGTTCATCAAGTGGCCCCATAGCCGAGACAACCACATGCCTACTCCGCTGTTCCATCCTGTCCTGCCCACTAGGATATTATAAGCACCCCTTTCAGAATTATGTTCTCCACACTCATATCACTACCCGATCCAGTATGCCTTCTCCGGCAACTACCTCTCTGTACCAATTGGATAGCAGGTCGCATTAGGATATGCTACTGTCAAGTCCTGACTTAAACACCCTTCCGGTACAACCAAATCCTGTCTCTGCACTGTGCTCCGCTAAATCTGTAAGAACCTACTCCACCCAATCCCCACATGTATACCAACCACAATCACCTTAGTTACATATTCCATTGACCCCTTTATTGTACTTGCGGTATGCTATATATAATCTACCTTTAAAGCAATGCCAAACTAGTATATTATGCTAGCGTCTTATGAGAATTTGGATTTTATCTATACTTATACAGATATAAAGAGGGGCAGGAATCGCAGCTATCTCCTCTTCCGATAGACTTATTCTACATACCCAGATTGACAACCTCTCCTTCCACCTACAGATTTCGCTTAAAAGACCATGGCTCCCCGCGGGCGACCGAAGAAATATGCTAGCGACACTGCACGTAGAGAAGCACGGCTCGCCTCACAAAAGCGGTACAATCAGCGCCGTAAACGTCAAGGTTCTCCGGTGATAGTAAGTGCATTACCTGCATCCCCGCCTACTCATACTACATTCCTGGAAAAAGATCTCATTGCTTACCAACGACTTAGATTCCTGCAACTAGCGAAGTTCAGCACGAGTTACTGGATATTGATCAAAATTTACAAGATGGTACGTTCCAGACTCTGATGTTCAACCAATTCTCGCTGTTACTAAGTAATAGCCTGGGAGTCTATCTTGATATTCATATAACATATTTCGTATCCAAACTAATTAGTTTCATAAATACAGTGGTCCTCTCCCCAATCAGAACTGAGGTCATCCCAGAAACAGTTTATAATATATCACAAGATCAAGGAATGGTTAGATATACGACTGCAAAGATCCTGCCGGGTAGTTCGTTGTTTAATATGTTTCACTTACTAACTTCATACTAGGTAGGTTCCACACATACGGAGTCCGTACGGCAGCCAGTCCCCGAACCTGGTATCACTCCACAGGCAGATAGTATTCCTTCTACTATGCTTCCTGGATCGAGCAGAAACATCCGTTACCCCTTTTCACTTTCACGCTTTCTGCAGGTAGTTCTCGCTTCTTGACCTTTATTGCAGCAATTAAATTAAATATTATTGTATTTAGTCTGGTGGCAACGAGGTAGAGGGTAAGAGGTTTGAAAAGGAACCTAGCCAGGATCTAAGGCCTCTAGTTTATACCAATTACAGATTTGATTCTGCATCTTCAGGTTCGTTCTAACTCTTTCCTGGTATCCTTGCTCTATTCGGTACTGTATCATAACTTGTCCAATGTTCTAACATAACTGAGCAGATTTTGCAGATATTGAGTCTTGTGGAATAGAGTCTACAACGGCGAGTATTCCACCAGAACAACCCTGCAGTAGAGAACCAAGCAGAATTCCGGAGACCAATATCCAAATTGTGTCCCGTACCGTATCATCAACCTCAGAATATTTGCCTCTTAGCCAATGTAGTTACCATCCGAGAAGCCCTAGTCCAGATTCTGATGGGAGTACAACAACCTATCTAGAAAGTGAGTTCAGCTACTCTCAGGTAGCTTGGAATTCCACATATCACCAGCAGGGCAGCGGTAGCCTCATTTCAGATGTGGAAACATCGGCAATCGATGCACTTTCTGATGCTGAGAATCCTACCGAGTCTGAACCTCGCTCTGTGGCATCCCCGTGTCTTGCAAGCAGTCCAGCGGGTACGAGTACCGAGGATGCCTGGCAGCATGATTTAACCCAACTAGCGACTATGTTAGTTAATCTAATCATCCCACCTGCAGAATCCTCTGCAACCGGTGTTGCTACAAATAAAGACAGTAGTAATCGGAGGTCCGGGAGCCTATTGGAGCAACCACCAGAGAGTATCGGCGAATTTCCGCAGCGTCCATGGGGTAGTAAATCAATCCGGGCCGGTATGGCAGACCTTCCATTCGTGCTCAAGGAGAATTGTTTTAGCCTGCCGGTAGGACAAACTTTGGCCGGGGAGAGCGCAGACTTGATCTACGCAGGCATCCAGCGAGAAAATCAAGTTCCCGAGTCTCTGTCGTTATCCGCTGCACATGACCGGATCAGTAACGCCCTAGCTCCGGTACGCTTCTTCGACATCGATAGCATACTGTGCCTTCCCACCAGTTTAGGGGTAGCAAAGTCTGGAATTAAGATTTGTTTTACTCCTGTGCAGTCAAAGAATATTTCCTCCAATCTCCATATTCGCATCCCCCTCCCACATGGGTTACCGAATACCAGGCGCCTTTCTGCTACCATCCGCGAACTGCCACATTTCGAATTAGGACATTTGTACGGACAGGAGGACTTCAAGCTCTATGTGTTCTTTCCGAATATGTTAGATAAAGGGCGCAAGTCAAATTACCTGACTGACAGCGAAATTGCACGGTTTATCGATCTTGTACTGTTTCCCGCGATCCGCGAGCATTGTCCACCTGCATTCCTCCAACATTTGCCCGGCAGCTACGATAGTGCGAAGTTACGTTCCATGGCTGCAGCGCGCGAATCAGGTGTACGGCCAACTAGCGACAATTCACGTCCACACAATTATTACTATTCCTTGCCCCCACGCTTCCTAGTGCCAGTTTGGGAGTCAATTCTAAAGTTAGTAAAGTCTTGTGGGCTGCAAGACTTTTATGCGCCTCTTCTATTTCTTAACGCCAAGAATCTGAAACTCCATACCAGTAACTCGAATCTAAATGTCACCCTAACCGAATTCACCAGGTTCTGGAATCACGTATGTGACATGTCACATGTTCCACACGATCAATTATGGGTAGACCTCGCGAGCGAGGTTATTCATGATCCTGGATCCTTTGACCCCTGTTGTCCGCAATCACAATATCCACCATCAGGACGTGAGGTTGAGGCATTCTTCTTTTCCTGGAATCATAATTGGCTGAAATCACTTGCATCACGCTTCACGGCCAATTTCCCTGGGGAGAAATATCAGGTGCGCATGTACAACTTGTTGCTTTGTAGTGAGTTGGCAAATATGACGCTTGAGCCCCCTCGCACCCATACTGCACGCCATTTAGGCCTTGCATATTCTCAGTTTTATTCTACTGTGAAAGAAATATTTGATGTCGGAAAAGTGTATCCATTTGACAATCCCGCGCTCGAGATTTTAGCGATCAATGATGACTTGCGGCAGATGTGGCAGCAAGTTGGTCACAAGGGCTCATATGATCTGCGGTATCTGCGGAAGACGTATTTGTCATCACGGCTCCGTGTCATGGAAGCGCTGTATTCGGCAACAGGTACCAGCTTCGGGACCCGGCAAGAGCATCGGATTCAATATCCTCTCCTGTTAGCGATACAGGCAGTCGTACAGTCTAGTCCTGAAGGATATCCTACGGGAGGTCCCAGCTTTCTTCCAACAGACGTGATGGAGCGCCCATTTATCGCAAGTCCAACTTCGGAGATGCTACTGCTTTGGGCTTCAACCATAAACAAGTGGTGTTTTGGTTTTGAATACATGTTGAGCATGAATGAAGAGGATGGTGGCAATTGGGAGCGTATGCGCGTAATGATATTGTTTTTACGGATGTTAAAATTCACGGTAAAGGGTATTGACATGCGACGAAATCCTGAACTGTGGGCACATAGCTTCTATCAGCGCGATACTCCAACAATATGCCAGGGATTTGGATTGCAGCGGACTATGGCAATACGTGGCTATGCCTTTCTGCCACCCGGGTTAATTGACTGGGTTCAGGGCAAGCTGAATGCGCCCTTTGCAGAATATGATATACTTACGACACCAACCATCAAATCTCTTTATCGGAAGCACTATCCCGCCATTAAGACTCTGTCCAACCTATATCAACAATTTAGTCAGGCCCTGACGCACATGCAGCAACATCAGGAAAATTCCGGCTTCTGCTCCCTTTCTCGTTCGATACTTAGCTGTATTCTTATAGAGCTTTTCCGGCAAGATGTTTGGACCAAGCTAATCGCAGATAATTTTCGAGTCGCCTGTAACCACCAACACTTAGTACAGCCCGACAAACCGCTTTGCATGACATATCTGAAAATGATCACTGATGGCAACATGGAGGACTTTAAGTTTGTACAAAATTATAACCGCCATCAATTTCACCCATTTGACCGGGTCACCTATCTGTGGGATTACGATGTTGGTAGAAAGCGTAGCAGTTGGGACAAAAGGCCCTGGCGTATTCTCTTTCAACTCATTTGTCAGCGATTGGCCCACGACTGTCCACACTCCGAGATCCTGCACGAATTTCGCCAACAACACTTTCTTCGATTCCTGCAGCACAACTTAGTATTTCCACAGCCAGTTAATGGATCCTTCCATACCAAGTACCGCAATCGCAGTGGTCAAATGCAGCGTTCCTGGTATTGCGCACATGACAAAGTCGGAACATTTTCGTGGGAGGAGCGTAACTGGACTACCGGTTCAGCAAAGGATACCCAACATAATACCACTATTCCACCTCCTCTACCATTTACGCAGCTATCCCTTTCTTTACTGCTTCAATGTGTGATCGGAGGGCAAATTGATTTGCCAAAGCTCCGAGAACTGGCGGGTGGTGATCACTGACTTGTCCACTACTCCAGGTAAGTACTATCAATTCCTGCTCATGCACGAAGGTACTGACCTGGGTGAACTCAACTTGAAATAGGAGTAACGTAGCCTATATACACAAAACTCGTCGGCTGGAAGGTTCCGGACTTTTTCTGCGGGGAGTGGGGTCATATTTGTAGGCGCGCGGGACTGTGTGGGGGGGGGCAGGCTGGATATAGGAGAATTGCTGGGGGCTTTGAAGGGGATTTCTTTTCCAGATAAGGATATGAGAAATGAAAGGCATACATAGGTTGCATTTTCAAGATATACCCTAACTATGCCTGGAACTAGCAGTAGGGTTAATTTATTATCATCTAATAGCTGTCCCAGCGGCTATTAGGATTGTGTTATTCATACTGGTCCATTGCTGTTACATTCTAACTCGCAAGACTTTTCTTTTCACCTGTAATACTTCTTTTATATTGCAAAACCTGTATTCTACCTATCTTAATGGCGGGCTAGGATAGATCTCCCATACTCATTAGTTGTTACGTATTTATAGAGATGAGAGAATGGATTGGGGGTAAAGTAATTTATTTGGTCTAAGTACACCACTCTGCCTAACGGAATATGTGCTCTACCGTACTATATTCTATCAGGAAAGCCATCTAAAAACAACCGGCCAAACTACGGTTTACCTAGGCCAGTACAACCCGCACACCTCATAGGCAGAGGGAAAAATACTGTACTAGGAAGTCATGGCCATTTCCCGACTCCTCACGAACCAATAACCCTCCCAAAGCCTGCAGAGGACACCCAAACAGCCCAAACCCAAGAAAGAAATGATGTGTCAGCTGGATGGGAATCATCCACTCCCAAACACAATATGGGCACCTGAAGGTACCCCCCCACCAAGCTGAGACAAGAGAGAAAAATAGGGGGAAGGGAGCAGGAAAGAACTATCCATAGTGTTAAGAAAAGTGTAAAGAGTACTTAGGTGGTGGGCTGGACCTACCAACTTCAAGGTGCACTAGATTGCTGCAGACCTTTCATCTTAGACATTATTTCCTTTGAGTTTTTAATATTAATATTCTTCTTAGGTAAAAGCCATGGCTCAATAAGTTCAACTAGGCTGAGGTATCCTATATAGTTATCATCTCAATATGGCCAGTCTGAGCTATTCCTAGCAATTACCTGCATTGTTCATCTGTTTTGCTAACCTTCACATAGCTATTATTTCTGATACTGACTACCATTATCCACAGGGACAGCTGGTACGTATATAAGACTAACTTCTGATATGCTCTTAAATGTAAGTCAGCAAAATCCTACCTCATACTACAGCTGTGACTACAAGTGGACCATATCAAAAACCCCTGCAGGTGATACTTTCATATCTGATGCTCTGGCTACTACATAGCTTCTACTGAATCTATGTCACATTGATATGCTATTTGGTATACCAAAATTGCTAGCTTCTTGTGTGATAACCTTTACTTATAACCTTACAGTTATGCCAATACAGGACTAATTCATATGCAAGGTAAATTAAATAGTCAGGCAGAACAGATAGACCTTATTACAACATATGACTAGTAATAACTGCTGCCATATACAAGGAGTATGTTGTTGCTATAAAGGAAAAGAGAGGTAAAATGGGTAATATTTTAGTAGCAAAGCACTGGGAAAATTATAGCAGTTTATAGCAGGTAGGAGGTTGGTATTGACTCAGAGAGTATAATCTGAAGTGGTAATTGTTACATATAGAAGCGTAATAGGTACACAAGATGACTCAATGCCTGAGGTCATGTTTGTGACTCTGGACTAGGCCAGCGTTATAGTAACAATAGTATATTATTGCGTGAAATGATAAGACATCTATAGAGACTGCTTGATAGAGTACTAAGAAATGCCAGCCTGGGGCTTTTACCAGTTAAGCTAGAAGCAGATCTGCGCTATCTGATGAGACTTATTTGGTTCAGATTGCTATGCTAGTTACTGAGCTATGACCTGCACAAGTCTGTGTACCCTTGCCTCTATAGAAAGAGGAAGCAAAACATAGCCCAATGAACCTCAGGGAACCAGAGTCATCTAGATACCTGTCCAGGAGTGATTAATAACAACCCCTTAATCAAGTTAGTTATCTTTATCATGCACGCTAAGCTATGCGCAATCATGAGACATTAATATATCATTGGATACAGCTGATCACTCCGCCCAGGAAGAGAGGAGAGAGCGTCATCTTCATGGTCTAATGCAGTTCGTACTCCAGATGAAGTACATTGTTCGGATAGTAGGTACAAAGTTAGTAGGGCATACAGTATTGTGTACAACCAGGGGGATGTGGCATAAAAATATTGTGGTGCCTTTCGAGGTTTAAGGTTATCCGCCCTGTCTGTCTTCCCTGCCCCTGCGATGATTGAAAACTCAATACCATGGTTAATATAGTTGCTTTCATTGTCTGGCATCACCACCCCCATTATCTCGCCCCATCTAACCTCAGCTATGGGAGATGGGCTTGCGTCGCCTCTCCCTCAAGGTCTTGATTTATTGCTTAATTCTGTTAGTTCTATCCTTGATTGTGGGCCTTGGTCTTCACTATAGTTCTCCTCTTCTGACCCCACCTCACTTAGGGGCTGACACAGTCAGCAACTGCTTTACTACCTGTAGCAGATAGCCAGGACAATAGTTTGGGGTAGGAGAGAACCGCCTTTAGGCTTCAGTTGATCTCTCCAGCTTCTTGCTCTGGTAAGAGGCCGCCTGCATAGATACTAATACAATTACTAATAGTTGTAGACCACAGTCTTGGGTCTACTGCTCCTTGTCTCTTGGGGGCTTTGTTGGCTTGCAGGTGGTGGGATCCCTTCCACTACCAGGTGTAACGGGGCTCCATCAGGAAGATGGATACCGAGGATGCAAGCGCACCAAACTTTGAATCTCTCGAACACAGCTCTTGCAAAAGTGTAAAGACTAAAAGTAGTTGATAAAACTTAATATCATTAAGCGAAGGCTTATCTCAATTAAAGTCTCTCAAGAGGATGTTGATTGTGTCAGGGTAAGACAGTTCTGGTATAATCTTTAAGTAGTCAGACTTATACCAAAAACTCCCCCATCAGGTTATCCCCACCAACATGACTGTGCCCTTCTCCGTAAGGGTTGCGTCGGCACCATTACCGTATTCCTGAAGGGCGTAAGGTGTCAGCGCACTCTAGTAGGAATCTCCCATATGTATATCAGTCCTGCGAGGTGTTTACCAATACCCATGCCAAAGTGGAAACCGCTGGACATCAGTGTCTCATCAATGGCTAACTGTCGAGTCCCCTGGCAAAGCTAACTAAATGACTGTACCCATGAGCAATGATCTATGCAAGCACCCGTAGACATCAGCTGTCTTTGCGTTAAGGTCTATCTATCTTGATTGCAAACATAGAAGGTGTTACCGCGCTCCCGCAGAGACCTGCGACATCGGCGGGACCTCTTGGCATTACCCAGGGTCCCTTACCCCCTGCACACCACACACTGTGATAAGTATCATGCTATTAGAGTCTTCCAACAACCCATAAAGAGCCTACAGGAAAGCGGGACGTGTAGGCATGATTGGCGTAAAACCTTCCTGGATGTCTCCAGCACTAGGCGCGACTACTCGGGGACCCTTCAGGATAGCTCTAGCTAACTCCGTCAGTTATGGTCCATTTTACTCTGTTGCTTTTGGAGAAGGTACCTGACCTTCTCACCTTGCCCCCTCATATATCCTGCGAACAGCCTCCCGTCGGTCAGACGGCAGCGATGTATCCAGTGTTATAGACATCTGTTTATTGATTGCATTTAACTAATAAGAAGTCAACTCGACCGCTTTTGACCCATGATGCCCGGGGCGAACCCTGAGGCCGTAGGGATGTCTTAGGAATATTCCTGCCAAGTTACAGCATATTCGGAGCACTATTACTCCTCCCGTAGCCTTCAGATCAGGGTGTACCGAAGTGCCCATCGATCGTCCTTTCATGACAAACAATCCTAACATTTCCAGGAATTCCTCAGAGAACCTTTTCAACGGAGGGTAGTGTAACGACCCTACGTTATAGAGCTATGGCAACCTAAGTCTACACCCATACATAAGACCTAGAGGGTATATGACAGACTAGGCGGGCAGGTCTGAGCTTGTCCGCGAGATACTCGATGGTCCGGGTATCCCGAAGAACAGAAGGTACTTTAGAAATAGGTGTACCTAAGTAGTGGAAGTAACGTGAGCACGTCGGCTTCGTCCTAAGGATAGGTCGGAAGGCCGCGTGAGTTTACCCTGTCTAGGTAAGTCACGTTACCCTACCATGGAGACCAGTTTTGTGTCACCAGGGACACACTTACCCTACCTTTGGGACACTATTACCCGACCTTCTATCGGGAACGTTCTGGGAAAGATTCCGTGT